AAAGTATTGGCACCCTTTCACAACTGCGGATAAATAAGAATGTTACAAGCATGTGATGCTCCTGTAAACTCACCTGGGGCAAGTAACAGGTGTGGGCAATATAGAAATCCCACCTGAAAGCAGATAAAAAGGAGAGACGTTCACTTAACCTTTGCATTGTGTGTCTGTCTGTGCCACACTAAGCATGGACAACAGAAAGAGGAGACGAGAACTGTCTGAGGACCTGAGAACCAAAATTGTGGCAAAATATCAACAATCTCAAGGTTACAAGTCCATCTCCAGAGAACTAGATTTGCCTTTGTCCACAGTGCGCAACATTATCAAGAAGTTTGCAACCCATGGCACTGTAGCTAATCTCCCTGGTCGTGGACGGATGAGGAAAATTGATGAAAGATTGCAACGCAGAATTGTCCGGATGGTGGATAAGCAGCCCCAAACATGTTCCAAAGACATTCAAGCTGTCCTGCAGGCTCAGGGAGCATCAGTGTCAGCGCGAACTATCCGTCGACATTTAAATGAAATGAAACGCTATGGCAGGAGACCCAGGAGGACCCCACTGCTGACACAGAGACATAAAAAAGCAAGACTACAGTTTGCCAAAATGTACTTGAGTAAGCCAAAAGCCTTCTGGGAAAACGTCTTGTGGACAGATGAGACCAAGATAGAGCTTTTCGGTAAAGCACATCATTCTACTGTTTACCGAAAACGGAATGAGGCCTACAAAGAACAAAAACACAGTACCTACGGTAAAATATGGTGGAGGTTCAATGATGTTTTGGGGTTGTTTTGCTGCCTCTGGCACTGGGTGCCTTGACTGTGTGCAAGGCATCATGAAATCTGAGGATTACCAAAGGATTTTGGGTCGCACTGTAGGGCCCAGTGTCAGAAAGCTGGGTTTGCGTCCAAGATCCTGGGTCTTCCAGCAGGACAATGACCCCAAACATACGTCAAAAAGCACTCAGAAATGGATGGCAAAGAAGCGCTGGAGAGTTCTGAAGTGGCCAGCAATGAGCCCAGATCTAAATCCCATTGAACACCTGTATATCTATATCTTTCTTCTTTATATATTTTTTTTATTATATTTTTCTTTTATTTTTTTTTTTTTTTTTTTTTTTTTTTTTTTTTTTTTTTTTTTTTTTTTTTTTTTTTTTTTTTTTTTTTTTTTTTTTTTTTTTTTTTCTCTCTTTTTTTTTTCTTTTTTTCTCTGTTATTTTTGTAAAGAATATATTTTATTGAGGGTAATACACTATTTTAGTTCTTTTTTTCTTTTGAGTTATACGCTCTTTTGGATATATACGGGGATGATAAAGCTGAATATGGAGGAATAATTGTAAAATATTATAAATATCTTGCGAGCCAGAAAATTAACAAAAACTCCTTATTAATACACTCTAATGCTGGATCGCAAACCTCTAGCACATAACTACCAATGTGATAAACCGCAAAAAATAAATCTATAGTGTTGCGCTCCCAATCCTTAAATCAATATTTAGTTATTTAAATATGATCTCTATAATAAAGATCACAATAATTAAGAATGATGTGTGCAAATAAACATAAATACTAATATTCTTAAACTTTGAATTAATACAAGTAAATAATGTGCATAAAAAATGATCAATAACAATAAATCACTAAAAAATTAATAAAAATATAAAAAAAAAAAATAAATATAAAGATAAAAATAAAAATAAAAATAATGTCCCAAAAAGTGACTTTGTGCTGGAAAATCTTCAATCTAAAATAAATATAAATCGGTGACTGCTTGTGAATCCTCCCTCCTGTGAAGATGTGCGCTCACCTCATGAGAAGCCTGCAATTAGGCTATAAAAGCTTGCGGTTCACCTCCTTTGGAACCTACTAGTTTAGGACTCCTGCTTGAAGATGGGATGAATCTCCTCTCCAGAGGGTGCAACTCCTCTATACTTTCATCTCCATGCGATTCTCCACATATAAAAAAGATCTCGACATGGTGCTTTATCTTTTATATAAGTATGCCTTTTATTTGCTTATGATATGGCACTCACATATAAAGTGTGCGGATAGTGGTAGCACAATTGCAATCCCAAACCGCCGCTGATTGTCGGAGCTGTGTACTCGTGGTCCGGCTAACAAACTGACTCCCTCCGAGTGACGTTGCAGTCCCACCCCTACGCGTTACGTCACTGGTCACGTGGCTTCATCAGGGGGATTTGATCAAATCCCCCTGATGAAGCCACGTGACCAGTGGCGTAACGCGTAGGGGTGGGACTGCAACGTCACTCGGAGGGAGTCAGTTTGTTAGCCGGACCACGAGTACACAGCTCCGACAATCAGCGGCGGTTTGGGATTGCAATTGTGCTACCACTATCCGCACACTTTATATGTGAGTGCCATATCATAAGCAAATAAAAGGCATACTTATATAAAAGATAAAGCACCATGTCGAGATCTTTTTTATATGTGGAGAATCGCATGGAGATGAAAGTATAGAGGAGTTGCACCCTCTGGAGAGGAGATTCATCCCATCTTCAAGCAGGAGTCCTAAACTAGTAGGTTCCAAAGGAGGTGAACCGCAAGCTTTTATAGCCTAATTGCAGGCTTCTCATGAGGTGAGCGCACATCTTCACAGGAGGGAGGATTCACAAGCAGTCACCGATTTATATTTATTTTAGATTGAAGATTTTCCAGCACAAAGTCACTTTTTGGGACATTATTTTTATTTTTTATTTTTATCTTTATATTTTATTTTTTATTTTTTTATATTTTTTATTAATTTTTTAGTGATTTATTGTTATTGATCATTTTTTATGCACATTATTTACTTGTATTAATTCAAAGTTTAAGAATATTAGTATTTATGTTTATTTGCACACATCATTCTTAATTATTGTGATCTTTATTATAGAGATCATATTTAAATAACTAAATATTGATTTAAGGATTGGGAGCGCAACACTATAGATTTATTTTTATGGAGGAATAATTATTTGGACTTTTTGTATATAATTTTTCACTGACACTAATAAGTTTATATATATATTTTCTGGACTTTCAAGGGTAAAAGTGGGACTTTGGAGTGTCATATAGGGTTGTATCATTTATTTTATTTTGGATACAGAATTTATATCACAATATTTAATTTTTGGTCCACGTTATGCCATTGCCGGCAGTCAAGATTATTATTTATTTATTATTTCAGGTACTTATATAGCGCCGTCAATTTACGCAGCACTTTACATATATATTGTACATTCACATCAGTCCCTAACCCTCAAGGGGTGTACAATCTAAGGTCCCTAACTCACATTCATATACAAGGGCCAATTTAGACAGGATCCAATTAACCTACCAGAATGTCTTTTGGAGTGTGGGAGGAAACCGGAGTACCTGGAGGAAACCCACATACGCACAGGGAGAACATGCAAACTCCAGGCAGGAGGTGCCGTGGCTGGGATTCGAACAAACGACCCTAGTACTGCCAGGTGGAAGTGCTAACCATTTAACCACTGTGCTTGCCCACAAGAGATTCAAAGTTTATAGTAAAAAGTGCTTGGTACAAGGGTTGATAGTGACTTCAAACTTCGGTGGCGTGTCAGAAGTGTGGTAAAAATACACACTCACCAGATGCGTATTTTAAATACGCATGTAAATAATATACTCTGCGTGCTGCGAGCCCATTCTGGATGACGCAGTGGTTCGAGTGGCAACATTCCATTAAATCAGAGGAGGGAGCTGTTTCCATTAATACTGGTTGACAAGCATCCATCCATCCATCCATTAAGGAGGCCTCTGGATGGACCCTATCTGCACCAACCGAGGAAGACACCTTTAAAAGGTATATACCACCCAGAGGGAGGAGAATCCGTAAACGGCATTTCCCATCCATCCCATCCTGAGAGGGGGATCTCTGGCTATATTATTTACATGCGTATTTAAAATGCGCATCTGGTGAGTGCGTATTTTTACCACACTTCTGACACTCCACCGAAGTTTGAAGTCACTATCAACCTTTATACCAAGCACTTTTTACCAGGAACTGTCACATTATTTATTTGCTATTTTTTCAGTATTTATTATTCTAGTTCTGCACTTTGTTATTACTAGTTCTATGAGGTTTTACTTAGTTACCTTTGTGTGCTTCAGCAGCTAGTTCTAAAGCGCTCACAGATTTTATTCCATTTTAAAGATTCAAAGTTTTACTATTCATTTTAGAGTGATAGGATTGTATGCACACTGGCCTTTTCAGATTCAGCACAGACACCGCAAGCAGATCTTGGCTCGAAAGCCAAAAAATAAATGAAGACACCGACTGATCACCTTTACACAAACAATGACTGCATACAATAAAAGGACAGTTCCTTTTATTAAAAATGTAAACATCTCCTAAATTTTTACAACAGTAGAGGGCAACATATCCGCAAAGTCAAAACCTTCATGGCCGCTATGCCCCGATATATACAGTGATCTATGTTCCCGCGACCTTGGTCCTTTCCTCAGTTCATCATGTACAGTCCCAGACACAAAACACTTTGAACGGGTCCAATAGTATCATGCAGAGCACTTGAGAAGAAAAAAATAACATGCAGAGCAATGCTTTGCAGAGCCCTCAGAACAAGCCGTGACGGCACGTTCGGATAATCTTTGGCACTTGATGGCAAAGGAATACCTATCGTGGCCCCAGGAAACACCCATCTATGTAACCACGTGATGTCCTGTGATATCAGGCAGTGACATTATGTGTTGTTTTTAAATTACAACCCATGTAAGGCTGGAATATAAATTATCTGCAGCAATGAATTAGAGGAGGTATGGTACATGTATGTGTATGTAACAGTGTCTTGTGTTGTCTCTCATATACTCAGCTGGGAATGTAAAAGGAACAGTCACCCCGTCTCTGGAAGTTACACAGTATAGGGGTTTCCGTCCCAATTGGGAAATTGCTGACTGCTGAGCATTGAATATAATTAGAGACATCTCTGTGACCTAGCTGGGTGCTTTCTGTAAAACGGGGCTCCAGACTAACATGAGCAGTTACTCTGTTCCTTTGGAGAAGAGTCGGTAAGGTGTGCGGTACCACCAGCTGGCACCGGTCCATTCTCCAGGCTTTCATTCATCTTCTCGCAGATGACATCCACCAGACGCTCGAAGACTTGTTTCACGTTGATATTTTCTTTTGCGCTGGCCTCAAAAAACTCAAACCCTGAGGAAGAAGCAAAGTGATCCCTGTTACGAGTTGTAATGATGGACTGTGTGTAGAAAAGGGTTTGGACATGGTTAGAAGGGTATATATCGCTTTTATTATCAATCTTTCAGTAGGAACAAGAAAGAAAACCATGAAATCTTGAAAGGCGTATCTGGTTGGTACAATGTGCACAATGCTTATGTATACATTCACTCTGATGGAGATTTGTATTATCCAGTAGATGGGTATGTCCAGGGGCGAACTGACCATTTGGAAACTCGGGCACTGCCCAAGGGCCCGGGGTCAGTAGGGGGCCCCATGAGATGCCCCTGGTACCTTAATCATGGGCTTTTTTGAGTTTGGGCAAGGACACAGGGGCCCCATGATCCCCTATTGCCCGGGGGCCCCATGAGTTGTCAGTCCATCCCTGGGTATGTCAAACGCAAAAAAATCTTTTGAAGGTTTGACAAGTTGTGGTGGAATGAAACATCATGCTGTACTGCAGTAGTTTCCAAACTGCGGCCCCCGGGCCAGATGCGGACCTTTGCTTGCCTTTCTGGCCCTTGGGGTGATATATTTCTCATTGATAAAGGGCATTATTCCTCTTACTGACATCAACAATGAAGCATCATTCTTTCCTCTGACACCAACAATAGGGCACTATTCCTCCCATTGACACAAACTATGGGGCATATTTTCTTCCACTGATAGAAACATTGGAACACTATTCCTCCCACCAACACCAACAATGGGGCACTACTGCTTCCACTGACACCAATGATGGGGCACTACTGCTTCCACTGACACCAATGATAGGGCACTGTTCCTCCCACTGACACCAATGATGGGGCACTATTCCTCCCAATGACACCAATGATAGGGCACTATTCCTTCCACTGACACCAATGATGGGGCACTATTCCTCCCACTGATGCCAAGTATGGAGCATACTTTCTTCCACTGATAGAAACATTGGAACACTATTCCTTCCACTGACACCAACGATGGGGCACTATTCCTTCTACCGACGCCAATGATGGGGCACTATTCCTTCCACTGACACCAATGATGAAGCACTATTCCTCCCACTAATGCCAAGTATGAGGCATACTTTCTTCCACTGATAGAAACATTGGAACACTATTCCTTCCACTGACACCAACGATGGGGCACTATTCCTTCTACGGACACCAATGATGGGGCACTATTCCTTCTACGGACACCAACGATGGGGCATTATTCCTTCCACTGACACCAACGATGGGGCACTATTCCTTCTACGGACACCAACGATGGGGCACTATTCCTTCCACTGACACCAATGATGGGGCACTATTCCTCCCAATGACACCAATGATAGGGCACTATTCCTTCCACTGACACCAATGATGGGGCACTATTCCTCCCACTGATGCCAAGTATGGAGCATACTTTCTTCCACTGATAGAAACATTGGAACACTATTCCTTCCACTGACACCAACGATGGGGCACTATTCCTTCTACCGACGCCAATGATGGGGCACTATTCCTTCCACTGACACCAATGATGAAGCACTATTCCTCCCACTAATGCCAAGTATGAGGCATACTTTCTTCCACTGATAGAAACATTGGAACACTATTCCTTCCACTGACACCAACGATGGGGCACTATTCCTTCTACGGACACCAATGATGGGGCACTATTCCTTCTACGGACACCAACGATGGGGCATTATTCCTTCCACTGACACCAACGATGGGGCACTATTCCTTCTACGGACACCAACGATGGGGCACTATTTCCTTCCACTGACACCAACGATGGGGCACTATTCCTTCCACTGACACCAACGATGGGGCACTATTCCTTCCACTGACACCAACGATGGGGCACTATTCCTTCCACTGACACCAACGATGGGGCACTATTCCTTCTACGGACACCAACGATGGGGCATTATTCCTTCCACTGACACCAACGATGGGGCGCTATTCCTTCTACGGACACCAATGATGGGGCACTATTCCTTCTACGGACACCAACGATGGGGCACTATTCCTTCTACGGACACCAACGATGGGGCACTATTCCTTCCACTGACACCAACGATGGGGCATTATTCCTTCCACTGACACCAACGATGGGGCACTATTCCTTCCACTGACACCAACGATGGGGCACTATTCCTTCCACTGACACCAACGATGGGGCACTATTCCTTCTACTGACACCAACAATGGGGAACTATCCTTTCCACTTACAGCAACAATAGAACACTATTCATTTCACTGACATCAACGATGGGACCTAACAAAAGAAAATTAATGCAGCCACCACATGGAAGAAAACTGCAAAATATGACATGTTTGTTCTTGGGATTAGATACACTTTGAAAAAAAAAAGTCTCAAAATGCAAATCATAAGAAGAGTGAGAAGCAAATGATATCATGCTATACATCATGACTGCAATTATTAGCGAATGCTCTGAAATAGCCTCCCCTCATTCTGTTGGGATATCTATCACACATATGGGTTGTATTGGTAATATAAAGCAAAGAATTATAAAGGCAAAAATGGTATTTTCATAATAGTTCACATTCCTGAATGCTTGATGACGTCATGAGACCACGATCCACATTCCCACACATCACGTACCTAGCTCCTCAGCCAACCTACGTCCATCTTCAGCTGGGATTACTCGCTCATCTTCCAAGTCACACTTGTTCCCTACCAGCAGGACCTGTGCGTTGTCCCAGGAGTATGTCTTGATTTGTGTGGCCCTGTCATGTAAACAAACAAACACCTAAAATTTAGGAACCAAACCTTATTTTGTTTATTTAAAAAATAAATGATGATTTATTGTACCCCAAATTTGGGAACACAAATGCTGATATTAAAGTGTCACTCCACGTATAGGTGATATTATAAGGTATAGGCTGAGTGCTTCTCCACCATTCTTGAGAAACCTTGTACTTTTATCAATGGACACAAGGCTTCCTCTGACTGGACATGATTTACACCTCAGCCAATCAGAGAAAGCCTTGTAATCTTTGATAACCATACAAGGCTTCTCCATAACGGTGAAGAATCACTCAGCCCATTGCTCTTTAATTGTAGCAACAACTGGGAGGTCACCCATACTGTTCTTAGGACATCCTGATGTTCACTATATTTAGCTGATGCTACTACAGCCCATTACAGCACACCCAGCAGCTGCATTGTTCTGAAATAGAGATAGTTTGAAATCCCAGTGGTGAATAAATACCACCAAAATAAAGTTTTATCTGTCTCAAAAAAATGCTAAAAAATTCATATGGGTACAGTGTTGCATGATCGCGCAATTGTCATTCAAAGTGTGATAGTTCTGAAAGATGAAAATTGGCCTGGATTGGAAGGGGGTGAAAGTGTCCGGACTTGAAGTGGTTAAAGAGGAACTTCACCCCCCCCCCCCCCCTCAGTTTTTTACCCTACCCCTTACCTGTTGTATAGTATTCTCTTTGATTCAGTTATTATTATTATACAGGATTTATATGGCGCCAACAGTTTGCTCAGCGCTTTACAATATAACAGGAGACAATACAGCAACAATACAGTTCCATACAAGAGGGCTAGGAGCTTACAATCTAGGAGGGAGGGGCAAAAGGTAGCAACTGTGGGGGATGGACTGGTAGGAGGAGTAGAAGATTCCATTATTAGCTGAGGGCAGGATAGGCTTCCCTGAACAGATAGGTTTTCAGAGATCGCCTAAAAGTGAGGAGGGTAGGTGATAGTCTGATAAATTGGGGTAGAGAGTTCCAGAGGATGGGGGACGCTCTGGAGAAGTCCTGGAGACGAGCATGGGAGGAGGAGACAAGGGATCTAGAGAGCAGGAGGTTGTGCGAGGAGCGGAGAGTACGGTTTGGGTGATATTTGGAGACAAGATCAGTGATGTAATTTGGGGCAGAGTTATAAATGGCTTTATATGTTATTGTTAATGTCTTGAATTTTATCCGTTGGGCAATGGGAAGCCAGTGTAGTACATAACCAGCACATACCTGCTAAACTGCCAGAAACTTCTTTTTGAGCTGGTAACACATTGGATTTACGAAAGGCAAATAGGCTGCGCACTGCAAGTGCAGTTGCTCCAGATCTAGGGAGATCATGCAAGGAAAATGAAAAAAACAGCGTTTCTACTTGCACATGATTGGGAGAAAAGAAATCAGCAGAGCTTTGCCTCATTTTGGAGCTTCCCCTCGGATCTAAAGCAACTGCACCTGCAGTGCACAGTATATTTGCCTTTAGAAAATCAACCGCATTGAATTTACTGCAACAAAAATCTAATGCTAGCCATACACAGTTACCCCCAGTTCACATCTGTGCGGGTGGTGCCGCTGTGGATCCGCACGGAACTCCATGCAGCCGCACCACCCGCACAGAGAATTGTGGACCCGCAGACCGGTGCCATTAGTTCTAATGTCACGCCGCCCGCACTGGGAAACGCATCCGTACTGGGAACCGAGGTTCCCGTGTGGGCTGCGTTTTCCAAAGAAGTGCAGAGACTTCTTCCCTGCGTGTCACGGGCATGGGAGTCCATTCAAATGAATGGGCTCTCGTGCCCGTGCAAAATGCGGCCCGCACAGCCGCATAGATGTGAACCAGGGGTGATATTTCTCTGGAGGTGAGGGTAGATGAACGAGGGAAAATCAATAGATTGGTCCATCCATGATATACAGTGTGGATCAGGGGCGGACTGACAACTCATGGGGCCCCCGGGCAATAAGGGATCATGGGGCCCTTTGTCCTTGTCCAAACTCAAAAAAGCCTATGAAAAAGGTACCAGGGGCATCTCATGGGGCCCCCTACTGACCTCGGGCAGTGCCCGAGTTTCCAAATGGTCAGTCCGCCCCTGGTGTGGATGGAGAAATCTCCAGAACCTGCTACAGTATTAAGGCATCTGATATGATGTAGTCTACATATAGTCGGTAATTCTTTCACCCTGCTCAGTTGATTTCTAAATTGGCTGTTTCAGCTGGGTGGTGCTGATAATGCCATATATGGCTCAAATTAGCTGACATTTGAGCCGTCTATTGCCAACTTCAGCAGCATTGTCAGCGCTCCTTGTTGGACAAAAGAACTCTACCTATACCTCGTCCCTCTCTTGTTGGACAAAAGAACTCTACCTATACCTCGTCCCTCTCTTGTTGGACAAAAGAACTTACCTGTACCTCATCCCTCTCTTGTTGGACAAAAGAACTCTACTTATACCTCGTCCCTCTATTGTTGGACAAAAGAACTTACCTGTACCTCGTCCCTCTCTTGTTGGACAAAAGAACTCTACTTATGCCTCGTCCCTCTATTGTTGGACAAAAGAATTTACCTATACCTCGTCCCTCTCTCTCCATATGCATACATTGATTTCTTTCTCAGGAAAACCATGTTGCTGCCCTGACTCCCATGAGCCCTTACACAAACTGCATAGGAAAAGGGTTCTTGGGAGATGTAGATCTGGGTGGAGTGCCCACATCATTAGGAACTGAGCTCCTAGCAGATGCACCTGTATGAATTTTACAATCCTAGTTATGTCACAGGGAGTAATAAAATGTGTTTTCTTGCTACAGGAACAAGATGAAAGAAAAAATGTAAACCTGAGACATGCTCTAGAATGGGAAAGGAAGGTTTGGAGGTAAGTTTGGGTAACGCATTAATATAATTTTTTTTTTTCTTTTATTCTTTTTATTTAATTTTTCGTAGACTTGTGTCCAGGCCTTCGCAGGGGTAGGGCACCCAGGAAAAGTAACACTTTAAAATATGGTGAACTACAATAAAATCACAATTATGGGCGTATTGAGTGAGAGGCAATAGTCCTGGATTATGAAAGTCCAAATATGTATGACAAAGTCTATCCACTAAGGGCAAGCCGCGCTGAGCGCAGAAACTGTCTCTGAACATGCAAAAAAAGAAAAGAAGACAGCGCCTCGAAGGGTAGACTTCTGGTTACTTTTAATAATGTAGGTTAAGGCAACTCACATGAAAGTGACTTGTTAAAAGTTCATCAGAAGCCAGGGGATCTGGCCCGTCATGCGGCACGGTGATCGCTGCGATGCGCGATGTCTAAGTCCGGTGTGCATAGAGGGAGCTGGTCAGTGCCTCTGTCACTGGAAGCCGGGAGATAGAACGCAAACATCGGCGTTATGACGTCACCAGTGAGCTGAAACGCGTTTCAGGGCCTGCGCGCTCCTTTGTCAAGCTCGATAAAACATCAATATATAATACGCCCCTGAAGATGTCACAGATGACGAAAAGCGTTGGAAGGAGCAGAGTGCGGGACGTCAGCACACACCGGAACGTGGCGGCCATCTTGTTGGTTAGAGACATACCAATTGGTTATATGGTGACATTACTACGTTGTAAGGCAATAAATCCTACTAATCATACTACACTATGAGGATTCTTTTGCTTTTTGGATGATTTTGTCCTCTTTGAGGATAATTCATTGTTTTCATTATAGCGCCGTACCTTTTCTGTTTTAAATATATAATATGGGTGTACGACTCACATAAACCTGGTAGGAGGTATGGAAGTATGCCCATGACACAGATACAAGGAGGTCCTTCCACATGGAATATTAGTTGTGAAGGAGAAGAAGGTAAACTTAACTAAGTGGCTGTCCCGACAGCAACCAAAAGGTGTCATTGACCATTAGGCATTGTAACCGTAGAGGGCTCCTCAAGCCAGCATGCCCATACTTTAGTGAATTTGTTTGGGCATCCTCTACTGCTGTAACTAGCTTGGTAGAAAGGCAAAGCACAGTCCACAAAGTGCTTCCAAAAGTGTACGGTGGAGGGTTCCAGTGTAGTGTGGTTGCTTTTCTAGCATAAAATATTAATAGGCAGAGGATTGTCTGTTCCACATTCGTGGGAGCCAATTCATCCACTATACCTAGTAGGAACATTCTAGGTGAGGGCAGGGTGTATTTACCACAAGGCAAACAAGGCATTTGCCTAGGGTGGCATTTTTCAGGGGGGCAGCAGCATTTTTCAGGGGGGGGCAGCACCGCCCCCCCGAAAGAAGGGATGGAAGATGGGACAAATGCAGCATGGGGACCAGGTGGGATCTGAGAGAGGCTGCGAGCTGCTTGATGGTGTATGCAGAGCCTGACTCTTGTTCCTGTCCTTGTGTCCAGAGCTGTGATTGGGAGTGTCTTCTCTCTCCCCAGGATGGGGGGAAATTGCCACTGTATGGGGAGTGGTGGTAATGGAAGGCTCTCCTGGGTGGGGGGGAGGCTGCAGGGGCGCGGCTTGACCATTTGGAAATTCGGGCACTGCCCGAGGGGCGGGGGTCAGTAGGGGGCCCCCTGAGATGCCCCTGGTACCTTTTTCATAGGCTTTTTTGAGTTTGGGCAAGGACACAGGGGCCCCATGATCCCCTATTGCCTGGGGGTCCCATGAGTTGTCAGTCCGCCCCTGGGAGGCTGGGGTGTTGTTGGTCAATGTCAGGCTCCCTTTGTGGGGGATGGGGGTGTTGGTCGGTGTCAGGGTCTCTCCGTGAAGGGCGGGGAGCCAATTTTTGTGTTGCCTAGGGCAGCACAAAACCTAAATACACCCCAGGGTGAGGGGGTAAAGGAGGTTTTGGTAACAGCATTATTATTGCCGACAATGTTATGCCAATAGTGGGAAATAGCTGGACATGTCCAAAGACCTGGGACCCACCGATGATCCCAACACCAGCAGGTGGAAGAGGTTGCCGGGTCAAGATTATGAAGCCTGTGTTGCAGATGTAATCTGTATGTAGGTTTAATGCAGACATATTTGTGAAAGCCCCCAGAAAACGGTTTCACTTCCCATGCTGTACATAACATTTTTGATTAACAACATATATCATCTATGATTGCTTACCAATCTTGCACAGCATTGAAGGACTCAAGGTTGGAAATGTCGTACATAAGCAGGAAACCCATGGCTCCACGGTAATAGGCGGTGGTGATTGTCCGATACCTCTCCTGGCCAGCTGTGTCCTGCATGGATAGGAACAGAGTGTGAAGGTTAAAGCAGGTTCATTGCGACTCAGACATCACGTTCCATCCGAAGGCAACCAATATCATGAATTCTAACACATTTTCAGTCAACACTTATATGGAATTATTATTGTAATGGGCACAGTAAAAAATGAACTTACATTTTTCAACTTCTACTTGATATTTTGAAGGCTGTGGTCAGGGGCAGACTGACCATTCGAGCACTGCCTGAGGGCCCGGGGCAGGGGCGGACTGACTATTTGGAAACTGAGGGCCAGGGGGCAGTAGGGGGCCCCATGAGATGCCCCTGGTACCTTTTTCATAGGCTTTTTTGAGTTTGGGCAAGGACACAGGGGCCCCATGATCCCCTATTGCCTGGGGGCCCCATGAGTTGTCAGTCCGCCCCTGGTCCGGGGTCAGTAGGGGGCCCCATGAAATGCCTCTGGTACATTTTATAGGCTTTTTTTAGTTTGGGCAAGGATACAGGGGCCCCATGATCCCCTACTGTCTGGGGGCCCCATGAGCTATCAGTCAGCCCCTGGCTGTGGTATGTAGATGTGCTGTTCTCCTTTGTCTGTATAATTACCCCATCTGGGATATCTTTTCTATTTATCTATATATGTATGTCGCTCCTGACACTGAAACATTCTTAGGTAAAGTGGTTGTAAACGCTTACATATACCCAGAGACGTGGTGGGCCTCAGGTGCCACACAGGGATTAAACAAATCCTCATACATACGTTGTACCTGTTTATCTGCAGCATCCCTTCTCTACAGCTGTCTAAAGTGCTGAATTGTTAAGTTGTCTGAAAGCCCAGAAAAGGGAGGCAGAGAGATGAAATTACACACTGCAGTGCTTAGTGAGGAGAGCTCTGGGAGCTGATTGGAGGTAAGAGACACACACCCTTCCACACAGCTCACAGGAACAGAGCTGAGGGTGTCACTCTGCTGGAGGTCCCTCTCCTGTCACTATTTATCTCTTGGTGTCAGGAAAACATGTCAGAAGTGACTCATGCAGATAGCAGAGGAATGAGGCAGCAGACAGAAATGTATTATTATTTATTTCAGGTATTTATTGACTTGCTGTCAATTTACGCCGCACTTTACATATATATTGTACATTCACATCAGTCCCTAACCGTCAAGGGGTGTACAATCTAAGGTCCCTAACTCACATTCATACATACACATACTAGGGACAATTTAGACAGGAGCCAATTAACCTACCAGCATGTCTTTGAAGTGTGGGAGGAAACCAGAGTACCTGGAGGAAACCCACGCAGGCACAGGAAGAACATGCAAACTCCAGGCAGGTAGTGCTGTGGTTGGGATTCGAACCAACAACCCTAGTACTGCCAGGTGGAAGTGCTAACCATTTAGCCACTGTGCTGCCCAGAAATGACACTTGAGACAAGTACACACTATAGAGAGGTATGCTTTGTTCATATTTCATGTCTGAGATTTACAGCCACTTTAAAATGACATCTCAGCCATACAGAGATATGGGAGAAAAAATGTTTTGCTCTGGGCTGGTAAACTTGAGCTGCCACAAAAAGCCAGGTACAGCCATTGTGCACAGGACTGCTGGGTAGGAAGCAGAGTTTGAGTATGTGATGAACAAATATGGCTTCCCCCTTGCAACTATATGTCCTCATGCACACGGGACGTTTTACAGCATTTTTTTTTTTTACTTTGAGGTTTTCTACAGCCAGTAAACCCCCCAGCATGTTATCCTACGTGTCCATCCCCGGCATGTTATCCTACGTGACCATCCCCGGCATGTCATCCTACGTGTCCATCCCCGGCATGTTATCCTACGTGTCCATCCCCGGCATGTTATCCTACGTGTCCATCCCCGGCATGTTATCCTACGTGTCCATCCCCGGCATGTTATCCTACGTGTCCATCCCCGGCATGTTATCCTACGTGTCCATCCCCGGCATGTTATCCTACGTGTCCATCCCCGGCATGTTATCCTACGTGTCCATCCCCGGCATGTTATCCTACGTGTCCATCCCCGGCATGTTCTCCTACGTGTCCATCCCCGGCATGTTATCCTACGTGTCCATCTCCGGCATGTTATCCTACGTGTCCATCCCCGGCATGTTATCCTACGTGTCCATCCCCGGCATGTTCTCCTACGTGTCCATCTCCGGCATGTTATCCTATGTGTCCATCCCTGGCATGTTATCCTATGTGTCCATCCCTGGCATGTTATCCTATGTGTCCATCCCCGGCATGTTATCCTATGTGTCCATACACGCATAGACTGGAATCAACAATTTTTGGTTGGAAAAAACCCCAGGACTAGTGGGTTTCTAGAGGAGTTTTTAGCTGTAAAAATGCTCTAATGTTGAAAACCACAGCAAGCCAGCAGTTTTGGAAATTTTTATTACTGAAGAAAAAAATTTTTTTTTGTTGGTCAAAAAAAACCCTCTAAAAACACTAAAAACAGCAAAACGCAAAAAACGTGGCTAATCGCTAATACAAAAATGCTGAAAAAACGCATGTTTTTATCGTGACTTTACACAGCTAACGTTACCAGTGTTATTAAAACGCCCCGTGTGCGTGGAACCTATATAAATGCATACCATTTGCAGAAACAAGATTTTAAAAGAACGAATACGAACCAATGAAATTGTTGACATTCATTGGATCACTTTGAAATTCATAGCTAAAAACATTTAAAAGATAATGACTACATACGGGACTATTTTATTGATGCAGCATGCCCATCTATTACATTTAACAAGACGTCTGGGTAGATCAGGTCTGTAGAGGTTAGAATGTCAGGATTGTTAATAAACCATACACCTTACCTAAAATTTAAAACATGTTAAGTACATCTCTGCAATAGATGCACATTTGCCCATGACTGTTTCCTCTAGAAATGTTGCAGGAACAGAAAAACACCAGCTGATCTGTCAGAAACCCAGTATGCTTCGGACTTCCTTTCTGATCTGACCAGACATTTGTCTTTGCTGTGCTGAAGAGCAAACCAGCGTTGTCAACCTTGCCTACTGGGCTACAGAACTCCACCTATCCCCGCCATCGCCTACTTACAAGCATTTCTTTTCCAGCAAAAGAAACAATTGAGTACTGTCCGTGATACTTTATTCATTTTATTTTATTTGCACTAACATACAATTTGCAGGACAAGCTTTTGGGGTATGTCCCTTTCTTCAAGGTCCAAGCAGTACAATTTGAAGGACAAGCTTTCGGGGTATGTCCCCTTCTTCAAGGTCCAAGCAGTACAATTTGAAGGACAAGCTTTCGGGGTATGTCCCCTTCTTCAAGGTCCAAGCAGTACAATTTGCAGGACAAGCTTTCGGGGTATGTCCCCTTCTTCAAGGTCCAAGCAGTACCATTTGAAGTACAAGCTTTCGGGGTATGTCCCCTTCTTCAAGGTCCAAGCAGTACCATTTGAAGGACAAGCTTTCGGGGTATGTCCCCTTCTTCAAGGTCCAAGCAGTACAATTTGAAGGACAAGCTTTCGGGGTATGTCCCCTTCTTCAAGGTCCAAGCAGTACAATTTGCAGGATAAGCTTTCGGGGTATGTCCCCTTCTTCAAGGTCCAAGCAGTACAATTTGAAGGACAAGCTTTCAGGGTTTGTCCCCTTCTTCAAGGTCCAAGCAGTAAGATTTGCATTACAAGCTTTCAAGGTATGTCCCCTTCTTCAAGGTCCAAGCAGTACTACTTCACAAAGTTTTAGCAGAAAGAAACAATCTCTGAGGGGGGAAAAATAACTGAAAAAAACCCTGACACACAAACAATGTACACAGCAATGGTTATAAAACTAGGATTAGACTAGAGATAAGACAGAGCAAAAGAAAAGATTGCTTTTTTCCAGCAAAACAATGCTACTGCCTTCACTCCCAAAACCTGCCTACACAGTGCGCATGTAGAGAAAAGGGCTCCAGAAAGACCTAGTTCTGGGGGCACGCCTACATCAATTTGACACCCAGTTCCCAGCAACGGCCCTCATGAATTATTATTATTATACAGGATTTATAAAGCGCCAACAGTTTGCGCAGAACTTTACAATATAAGGGAAACAGTACAATTACAGTACATTTCAGTACAGAAGGAATAGGAGGGCCTTGCTCCTGGAGCTTACAATCTAAAGGAAGGGGGAGGTGATACAAAAGGTGATAGCTGCGGGGGATGATCTGATGGAGGTGAATCAAGTACAGTTCTTAGGTGGGGTAGGCTTCCCTGAATAAGTGAGTTTTCAAAGATCGCCTAAAGGCAGACAGGGTGGGGGCTGACCGGACATACTATGGTAGGGAATTCCAGAGGATAGGAGAGGCTCTGGAGAAGTCCTGGAGGCGAGCATGGGAGGAGGAGATGAGGGAGCTAGAGAGGAAGATATCTTGGGAGGAGCGGAGTGGGCGATTTGGGCGGTATCTGTGGATGAGATTGGCGATGTAGCTAGGGGCAGTGTTGTGGATGGCTTTGTATGTTGTGGTTAGTATTTTGAATTTTATACGTTGGGTTAGTGGAAGCCATTGAAGGTGTATGAGTCTAGCAGCAGCATTCATTCAAAGAATTTTACAAGCCTGGTGATACTGTCACTACAGGTAGAAAGGCAAAGGTAAAAAACAATGCCAGGACATGCTCTAGAGCAGGGCTTCCCAAACCTTTTAAGTACAAAGGCCACATTGAGGTTGATTTACTAAAATTGCAGGGGCAAATCTGGAGCAGCTCTGCATAGCAGCCAATCAACTTTCAGTTTTTTTTTTTTTTTTTTTTTTTGTCAAAGCTTAAATTGAACAAGCTGAAGATAAGCTGGCCATAAATGATACAATTTTCTTATTCAATTTCCTTCAGATCTACCTTCGGCATCATATGATTTAGAACAAGAGAAAAAAAACTTCAGTAAACAAAGCAAAGAGATTCTGAATAAACTAAGACCATTTGAGCCCCCTGACATCAGAGTCCCCATCAGAGCCCCCTTATATCAAAGTCCTCATTTACGTCCCCCCTAAATGGGAGACCT